ACAAGGTCAACAGGTGCGCTTACAAGCGTTGACAGGTGGTCTTTACAAACTGTGGCTGGTATTATTCCGTGGCTTTACAACATTTCACAGGCCTCCTTGATGGCTCAGCACGTTGATGGGGAAGTAGCAAAGCGTGCAATATGCCTCCCCCCCGGCGCTGAACTGCTGTGCCTTTTCAGAACTCTTCGTCACCACAGCTCATCTATTGCTCATTAGTTTGCTTGTGAGAAGAAACCAAATGCTGCACCCGTTATTGGAGTCGGTGCCGCTCCAGCACATACAGGCGCTAACAACGAAGTTGCATGAGAGAAAAAAAGAGTATTGGGAATCTTAGATCAAAGGCATCTCAATAATCAAAGTGTTTTTCTACATGTATACAGCTCATGCTGCACGCGTCAACAATGGTGCGTCATGCAGTCACGTGATCGGTACGTGCTTCTTGGGGCATTTCACGATTCAAAAGACTATAGGCGGTTACGACGACATGTTTTCAAGCATCACATTATGTAGTAAGGGCTTTCTCCAAGTGCCAGCCAAGTCTAAATCCCAATATTTGCGTAAGCTTGCTAACCTATTCCTTTTGGCAACAATATACCGTCTGGTGCAGAAGGTGAAGGTCGCAGTAGTGGAAAATCGAACGAAGAAGGGAAAGTAGTATCGAACGAAAAGTATTTGAGGTTAATCTAGAATTTACCTTCCGCTGTTCGTTGTCAGTGTTGGATTTCTCCTTATTGAATTCTTTCTTCAAGGCTTCCAGTTTGGTAGGTTCAGCGAGAGCATGTACGTCAATACCTTTACATCGCGCTTGCCAAGCAAACACTTGCGCTTCGTTTGCTTCAACAACTTCACCGGTGTACCTGAAGACATTCATACATTAACACAGTTTTTCTGATAAGAGAAGCAGAAACAAGCAAAATAAATAGGCAAAAAGCAAATTATAAAACAATGGATATCATACGTTAACCAATCAGTTTCAATCCAACCAATAGTCACGTTCCCAAACCCTAATCCCAATTCTTGTAAGGGAATGCTTCGCAGAATGACAACATATAGACAAGATCGCGGCTAATGCATTGGAAAAGAGATATGTGGCAAAACAACCGTAGTTCGGAGCGCTGGCGGGTTCCGTACGTGGCGCCGTAAATGATGATGATTCTAGTTCGTAGATGGCGACAATCGAATGCATAACAAAAACTAAGTGTGGGCTCAGGGATAGCTCAATTCTATCATTAGTATCAGAAAAGCATGAGCAGTCTTTCCCGACACTTGCTAGACATTCTGTTTTTATAGTTATGATGGGAGCTGCACTGGTTTAGACTGTAGTGCAAGGCATGTGTAGACCATGGTGGGAGAGGGACATCAGCTCGGTTTCCTGATCTGTTGTTGTGGTTTTTGAAGTGGGGGTCAGGAGAATCGAAATTCGCCTCTCCAACGCCTGTGGCGGTTGGCGTGGCTTTTTTCCTAATTTACATTAGCCTTCGATTGGACCTTCGGATTTCACGTAGACTTCGAGATGCTCATGTCAAGCACGTCGCATTCTTAGGGACTTTTAGTTGCACTGGAGGTCGGTCAGGGGTAGGTCGTTAATATATGATGGTTGTCAACGAATGTAGGCTTTTACTATGTTGTATTACAGACCTTAGCGACTTTATTGTTAAGAGGGAGCCCAGTCTGGTTAGTACTTTGATCAGCTTGATTGTTGTAAGGAATTGAAGTACTATGTATGCTTGTTTTATTTGAGGTCTGAAGAAGCTGTTACCACAGCGAAAGCTTACCAATGAAATTTCATATCGAGTACTCATTGAATATTGTTGAAGAAAACATTCTGATACTAATGTTAAGAAGCAAGACTTTAAAGTTCAAAAAGCAACAATTACTCTTTCCTTGGACGACCAAACAAATGGGAAGCTATTCACTGAGACCGAGTAGCTCACAAGACTTTCGGAAGAACTCGCGAATGGGATTCCAAACAGTGGTGTAACACCTCTTTCTAATACCGTCTGGATCTTTCACTCGCTGCTGCATGAACTAATGTAATCATAAGGTAATTAAAAAAAACCCAAGTCATTAATCGAAAACAATAGTCTCATGGGTTAAACAGCTGCAGAAAATGCATCTTCAATTACCTACCTAATGAAGTTTTCACCAGCAAATTTGGCCGCTTCTTTCTCCTTTCCCTGTACATTAGCAAACGGATTTTCTCGCATCGACCGGGACTTGGGATCGTAATATGGTGAGTTTTCAGCAAGGTTGAAAAGATATTTGGCAGTATCTTCACGAATTCTCAAATTTCGGACCTGAAATCTCCATTGTTAGTCAACTGGGAAAATATAATCAGAAAAAGCTACTACACCAATGTAAAGAAATTCATACTGTAATTCGGGTCCTTGAGTCCATATCCACAGATACACCAGCCATATCTGCGTCTTCTGCATACTTATCGTCGTCAGCACCTCCTTTTTCAGGGTCAAGAAGTCCTGCGCGAATCTTAATGTTATCAGTTGCTTCATGGCCTCTTCCAGTGCACAGAAACGGAGGAACTTAGCTCAGAAAACACAACGCACCTGTTCTGCTTTAATAGCCTTTCTTGTCTCCTCCAAATGTTCAAACTCCTGGATGACCTGTAAAAGAACGTGATCAGAAAATATTCATCAGTACACACACTGTTGCTCTTTTGTGCATACCTGTTCATGGCTACTAGGGTCAAACCCATTCCATCTATCTCTTTTTGCATCGAAACCTAATAAAAGATTCGGTTGCACGTGGTCATCAGGAGCAATGTCATCGCCAGTTTTGCTAAACAATTCAGTGTAATGCATCAACTGTTGTGACATTGCAAAGAGCAACTAGTACTGTTATGAAAATAGTTCATCTTGGTAAGGATAAGCAGGCAATAAAGAACCACCACACTTGCATTAATAAACACGCTGCGTGTGGACATTGCGCGCAACTTATAGATTCTAATGCTATGACATACACGATCAAACCAAAAGCTGAGGGCACTGCCCAACACACACCCGAGTCCATCATTTCAATTTTTCAAGGCTTTTATTTTGCATCAAACAAACGCATATTCCCCTCATCACCCCTCCATCAGAACAACTTCCACAAAACTCTGGGGTAAAATGATCAAAAACAAAACGGTTCAAAAAAATATGGGTCACAGTTTCAATCCATTTTTGTGTACTTGTGTTACTAACCATAAGGGAACTCTGCAAAAGGCGATACGAACAATACAAGTGCGATTTTTAGCCGAGCCATGGTTGGAATGGGAGGAAGAAATTACCCTACGCAAGTAATCCGGAGCTCGAAAAGGAAATGAAATGATGGTCTCTGTTCGTTCTAATGTGCCAGTCTTGTTTGCTCAGATTTTGTCTCAAACAGCTTTCTAAATAAATGACGCAAAGAAATGTCAG